TCTTCGGCGAATACACCCAAAGCGTCGAGAAAATTATGCTGACGGTCCTCAGCACCAACTTCACCAAGGCGACGTTGTACGTGTCGTAAAACTGGCACAGCAAATAGCAGATGTGCGGGAGACTTATGCCCACGCTGATTATGAGCAGCCTGTAGAAGAGGATTTCGAGCTTGAAAGGCGATCTCCCGGCTTCCATCAAAGTCCTCCTGACGTTTTTGAGCGCCAGCGCAGTTAGAACGGTTAGAAACGCGCTGATCACCATGAATATCAGCTGGAACATGATCAGCGACATGTTTTTGATCTCGCAGAATCCGGAGATGGCGTTCACGTGGATGTTGTTGTAGATGAGGATGTAAAGCATCGGGAGAGCGCTGCATATCCACATTAATGTGTGGTTAATCTTTTTTTAAATTTTTGTGCAGTGGAATTAAAAGAAAATCTTTATTTTTTCCAAAATTATAGGAAAAATGTGTAGTAGACTTACCTTTACGTTTTTATGGACAAGACTTTGTTTCAAAATAAAACCAAAATTAAGATTTAACTTATTTTATTGTCCTGTAAGCAAACCGTTACAAAAATCATTCATCCACGTATTTCACTTAAACTTAACCCTAATATCACAATGTATCCTAAACCTAAAATAAATACATTTAAAATATCTTACATAACCGCCATACTAGCAAAATAGTTTTTCATCATCTATAAAACCTATCAGAAATACAAGGCACAATTAACCACAGTGAATATTTTTTGGAGATTTCCAATTCGAAATTTAGACTTTGGTAAGTGGTCCCAGGCGAGGGATCCCCCGTTTTTGAATATCTTGGGGATTAAGGCTTTCAGTATGGTTTTCCAAGAGCTCTTGGGTTTCTCCGTTATCACCCCGGTTTCCGATTTGGATTGGAACGAGGAACAAATCAGGTTGTTCCACGTCCTGACGGTCTTCGGCGAAAACACCCAAAGCGTCGAGAAAATTATGCTGACAGTCCTCAGCACCAACTTTACCAAGGCGATGTTGTACGTGTCGTAAAATTGGCACAGCTAGTGATGGAAAAAACGGTTCCGCGCGCCTCTCAGTTCTGTTGACCGCACCATAACAAATTTAATACCAAAATTAAATATTGTAACTTTTGCTATACACTATAAGGTTTAAGGGGTCCCTACACTATCAATATTATTGCAATATGTTGTATTAAGCAATTTAGTTAACATTGTGTTGACAATATTGCCTAATTTATTTATATTGTCTGTGCCTAGGGACAATAATCAATTTTTTGTGCAGTACCTAATATTGAGCAAAATATTTTTTAAACGTCTAGGGACCCCTTTAATACACAAAAACCTGTTGATTCCTTGAATGTTTTGTCTCTCTCTAATAAATATTCTCTAGTAAGAAAAAACCTTCTTAGTAACTTTTGGTGTTATAGTTTAATAATTGTACAATATTAGGTATATTGGATTCCATCTACCCTACCTAACAAACTTAATTTTTTATGCACCGTTCCAGCGGAACGATTCCACCCGCCTCGTTATATTGGTTATATGCACCGATAAAGTTCCGCTTAAGTCGGAGCGCCGCGAAAATCGAACAAGAAACGAAACGAGGTAACTGCGCCTTTAAACAGTTCCGACGTTAGCGCCGTTCGTTCTGTTCCATGTTTTAAGTCGTTCCCTTCCCACAGTGGGAATCCCACTCGCTCCGTTCACTCATTCGATGGTCGGATTCTCTGTTTCTATTCAGTTCGATCCGCTGTCACATCGTTCCGATATATTTAGGAACGTTCCGGAACGTGATTTAAAAATAACGTTCCAAAATCACGTTATCAAAATCACGACCCATCACTAGGCACAGCCCACGCTGATTATGATCAACCTGTAGAAAAGGATTTCGAGCTTGAAAGGCGATCTTCCGGCTTCCATCAAAGTCCTCCTGAAGTTTTTGAGCGCCAGCGCAGTTAAAACGGTTAGAAACGCGCTGATCACCATGAATATCAGCTGGAACATGTTCAGGGGCATGTTTTTGATCTCGTAGAATCCGGAGATCGCGATCACGTGGATTTTGTTGGAGGTGAGGATGTCAAGCATCGGGAGAGCGCTGCATGTCCACATTAATGAGTGGTTAATCTTTTTTTTTTACTTTTTGTGCAGTGCAATTTAAAGAAAATCTTTATTTTTTCCAAAATTATAGAAAAAATGTGTAGTAGAATTACCTTTACGTTTATATGGACAAGACTTGGTTTCAAAATAAAACCAAAATAAAGATTTAACTTATTTTATTGTCATGTAAGCAAACCGTTACAAAAATCATTCATCCACGTATTTCACATTTAAACTTAACCCTAATATCACAATGTATCCTAAACCTAAAATAAATACATTTACAATATCTTACATAAACGCCACACTAGCAAAATAGTTGTTCATCATCTATAAAACTTATGAAAAATACAAGGCACAATTAACCACAGTGAATATTTTTTGGAGATTTCCAATTCGAAATTTAGACTTTGGTGACTGGTCCCAGGTGAGGGATCCCCCCGTTTTTGAATATCTTGGGGATTAAGGCTTTCAGTAGGGTTTTCTTCTTGGGTTTTTCCGTTATCACTCCGGTTTCCGGTTTGGATTTGAACGCGGAACAAATTAGGTCGTTCCACGTTCTGAACGTCTTCGGCGAATACACCCAAAGCGTCGAGAAAATTATGCTGACGGTCCTCAGCACCAACTTCACCAAGGCGACGTTGTACGTGTCGTAAAACTGGCACAGTAAATAGCAGATGTGCGGGAGACTTATGCCCACGCTGATTATGAGCAGCCTGTAGAAGAGGATTTCGAGCTTGAAAGGCGATCTCCCGGCTTCCATCAAAGTCCTCCTGACGTTTTTGAGCGCCAGCGCAGTTAGAACGGTTAGAAACGCGCTGATCACCATGAATATCAGCTGGAACATGATCAGCGACATGTTTTTGATCTCGCAGAATTCGGAGATCGCGTTCACGTGGATGTTGTTGGAGATGAGGATGTAAAGCATCGGGAGAGCGCTGCATATCTACATTAATGTGTGGTTAATCTTTTTTTAAATTTTTGAGCAGTGGAATTAAAAGAAAATCTTTATTTTTTCCAAAATTATAGAAAAAATGTGTAGTAGACTTACCTTTACGTTTTATAATAAAACCAAAATTAAGATTTAACTTATTTTATTGTCCTGTAAGCAAACCGTTACAAAAATCATTCATCCACGTATTTCACTTAAACTTAACCCTAATATCACAATGTATCCTAAACCTAAAATAAATACATTTAAAATATCTTACATAACCGCCATACTAGCAAAATAGTTGTTCATCTTCTATAAAACCTATGAGAAATACAAGGCACAATTAACCACAGTGAATATTTTTTGGAGATTTCCAATTCGAAATTTTGACTTTGGTGACTGGTCCCAGGTGAGGGATCCCCCCGTTTTTGAATATCTTGGGTATTATGGCTTTCAGTATGGTTTTCTTCTTGGGTTTCTCCGTTATCACCCCGGTTTCCGGTTTGGATTTGAACGAGGAACAAATCAGGTCGTTCCACGTTCTGAACATCTTCGGCGAATACACCCAAAGCGTCGAGAAAATTATGCTGACAGTCCTCAGCACCAACTTCACCAAGGCGACGTTGTACGTGTCGTAAAATTAGCACAGCCCACGCTGATTATGATCAGCCTGTAGAAAAGGATTTCGAGCTTGAAAGGCGATCTTCCGGCTTCCATCAAAGTCCTCCTGAAGTTTTTGAGCGCCAGCGCAGTTACAACGGTTAGAAACGCGCTGATCACCATGAATATCAGCTGGAACATGTTCAGGGGCATGTTTTTGATCTCGCAGAATCCGGAGATCGCGATCACGTGGATTTTGTTGGAGGTGAGGATGTCAAGCATCGGGAGAGCGCTGCATGTCCACATTAATGAGTGGTTAATCTTTTTTTTTTACTTTTTGTGCAGTGCAATTTAAAGAAAATCTTTATTTTTTCCAAAATTATAGAAAAAATGTGTAGTAGAATTACCTTTACGTTTATATGGACAAGACTTGGTTTCAAAATAAAACCAAAATAAATATTTAACTTATTTTATTGTCATGTAAGCAAACCGTTACAAAAATCATTCATCCACGTATTTCACATTTAAACTTAACCCTAATATCACAATGTATCCTAAACCTAAAATAAATACATTTACAATATCTTACATAAACGCCACACTAGCAAAATAGTTGTTCATCATCTATAAAACCTATGAAAAATACAAGGCACAATTAACCACAGTGAATATTTTTTGGAGATTTCCAATTCGAAATTTAGACTTTGGTGACTGGTCCCAGGTGAGGGATCCCCCCGTTTTTGAATATCTTGGGGATTAAGGCTTTCAGTAGGGTTTTCTTCTTGGGTTTCTCCGTTATCACCCCGGTTTCCGGTTTGGATTTGAACGAGGAACAAATCAGGTCGTTCCACGTTCTGAACATCTTCGGCGAATACACCCAAAGCGTCGAGAAAATTATGCTGACAGTCCTCAGCACCAACTTCACCAAGGCGACGTTGTACGTGTCGTAAAATTAGCACAGCCCACGCTGATTATGATCAACCTGTAGAAAAGGATTTCGAGCTTGAAAGGCGATCTTCCGGCTTCCATCAAAGTCCTCCTGAAGTTTTTGAGCGCCAGCGCAGTTAAAACGGTTAGAAACGCGCTGATCACCATGAATATCAGCTGGAACATGTTCAGGGGCATGTTTTTGATCTCGTAGAATCCGGAGATCGCGATCACGTGGATTTTGTTGGAGGTGAGGATGTCAAGCATCGGGAGAGCGCTGCATGTCCACATTAATGAGTGGTTAATCTTTTTTTTTACTTTTTGTGCAGTGCAATTTAAAGAAAATCTTTATTTTTTCCAAAATTATAGAAAAAATGTGTAGTAGAATTACCTTTACGTTTATATGGACAAGACTTGGTTTCAAAATAAAACCAAAATAAAGATTTAACTTATTTTATTGTCATGTAAGCAAACCGTTACAAAAATCATTCATCCACGTATTTCACATTTAAACTTAACCCTAATATCACAATGTATCCTAAACCTAAAATAAATACATTTACAATATCTTACATAAACGCCACACTAGCAAAATAGTTGTTCATCATCTATAAAACCTATGAAAAATACAAGGCACAATTAACCACAGTGAATATTTTTTGGAGATTTCCAATTCGAAATTTAGACTTTGGTGACTGGTCCCAGGTGAGGGATCCCCCCGTTTTTGAATATCTTGGGGATTAAGGCTTTCAGTAGGGTTTTCTTCTTGGGTTTCTCCGTTATCACCCCGGTTTCCGGTTTGGATTTGAACGCGGAACAAATCAGGTCGTTCCACGTTCTGAACGTCTTCGGCGAATAAACCCAAAGCGTCGAGAAAATTATGCTGACGGTCCTCAGCACCAACTTCACCAAGGCGACGTTGTACGTGTCGTAAAATTGGCACAGCAAATAGCAGATGTGCGGGAGACTTATGCCCACGCTGATTATGAGCAGCCTGTAGAAGAGGATTTCGAGCTTGAAAGGCGATCTCCCGGCTTCCATCAAAGTCGTCCTGACGTTTTTGAGCGCCAGCGCAGTTAGAACGGTTAGAAACGCGCTGATCACCATGAATATCAGCTGGAACATGATCAGCGACATGTTTTTGATCTCGCAGAATCCGGAGATGGCGTTCACGTGGATGTTGTTGGAGATGAGGATGTACAGCATCGGGAGGGCGCTGCAAATCCACACGGAAGTGTGGAGGCGGGTGGATATTTTCTCTATGGCTTCGGTGGACCATTCTTTGGCCGCGCTGAGAAACCACACGAAGCAGAAAACGCACCACCACAGGGAATAGACTATGTCGCAGAACACCAGTATGAGAGATATGCCCACGCAAGAAAGGCTTTCCGAAGGTTTTTCTAGTTGCGATTCACTGTATTTACCCGAGCAAGTGTAAGCCCCTTCAACCCACCTAATAAGGTATATGGTTGATGTAACGAATCCACAGGCTGTTAGGTATAGAATTGGTCTTGCCGGCCATCTAAATCTCTTTGGTTGAATGAGAAAGGTCAGTAAAGCAATCACAGTGAAAACCAAACATATAATGGACCAAACTGCTATCCAAATCTGGAAAAAACGAAAATGTAAATAAATCATCAAAAATCGGTGGTAACATTCTTACCTCAAACGTAACAACTTCATCCTTTTTAAACAACTGCTTGTATTTACAAATAGGAACACATTTTGATCCTCTAGCTTTCGTTTTTTGAGGGCAATTTGTTGAATTATACTTTAAGTCGTTAGGATTCACAAAATTGGGGGACAGAATCGTCTCACTTGGTTGCTGCATGCACAGTTCCGGAGCCTCGGGAAACCTACAAAAAATAATTTTAGATTTACTTTCTCAAATCTCTGTGCTAGTCTTGAGGCAGTAAGTCCCCCCCTTACCTTGAACAGTTGAGTTCGGACGGCCATTTCAATCCGTGCCCCTCCAAAGACGACAGACAGTCGGCTTTGACGTTCTCGCACAAACTTTTGCAGGCCTGTATCGGTCTAGGAACGTGTTCGGAACACATCGGAACGAAAACCGAACATATGAGCAGCTTTATGTGCTGCGAACATGCGTGGCTCAAAAACGGTTCGTACGAGTGTAACTGAAAGGAAAAAAAAATTTGTTTGATTTCATTCGGTACATTTGGCAACCATGTATTCATTTACTCGCACACCGCGATGTGCTTTGTTACCTGAGCGGCGCGGTGTAAGATCAAAGAAGGCGCAATTAAGTTGAAAAAAAACTAGTCGTTAATTCCCTGCAATTATTAATTATTTTCCTTAATGATTATGGGTGAAAATACGTTGGTTTTTTCCTGCAGAACAGTACTTGACAACTTCATAGACAAATTTGTTTTAAGATTCTAAATTCTTTTAAAAGTCTAATTACGTTTTTGACATTCTCAATGGCGTTTTTACATTCCTAATGCTTTTGAGATTCTAAATTTTATTTACCACATTTAAACTTGTGTAATTCTAACTTGTGTTTTAACATTCTCAATTGTGTTTTTGACAATGTGTTAATTATACCTTTAATATTCTAAATTAGCTTTAAGATTTCAAGTGATGTTTTCGAAATTCTAAATTTTCTACATTTCCAATTTTGCACATATTTTGCAAATTCAAAAGTATGCTTGATTTTGTAGTATTGTGTTTGTCCATTTTTTTTGTTTTAGACAATTTAAATTGAGTTTCTAAATTGTATTTTTTAGCATTCCAAATTGTGATTTTGACATTCTTAATTGTGTTTTTGACGTATTAAATTACGTTTTTAAAATTCCATATTTTCTACATTCAGATTTTTTTCGTTTTAACTTTCTGACTTGTGTTTTTAACATCCTAAATTATGTTTAGCATTCTAAATTGTGCTTTAGCATTTTAATTTGTGTTTTTTACATTTTATATTGCATTTGATTCTAAATTGGATTTTAAATTCTATATAAATTGTGTTTTTGGCACATGCTAATTATACCTTTAATATTCCTAATTTGTTTTAAGATTTTAAATTCTTTTAAAATTCTTAATTACGTTTCTAAATTTCTAAATTTTGACCGAGGTTTTTCCATTCTCAATTGTGTTACACATTCTTAATAATGCTTTTTAAAATTTTATTTACGACATTTAAAATTGTGTTTTTGACATTCCTAATTATGGTTTGACAATCTAAATTGCGTTTTTAAAATTACAAATTGTGTTTTTGAACTTTTAAATTTTCTACATTCTCAATAATTATTATGTTGGTAAATCTAAATATGCTTTTGGTATTATTGGGTTATTTACATTCCTAATTGTTTTATACATTTAGAATATTGGTATTCTTAAGATTTTGTTTTGACATTCTATATTGTGTTTTTGACATTTTAAATTGTGGTATTAAAATTGTAAATTTTGTTTTCGACGTTCAAAATTGCGTTTTTGACATTCCACATTGTATGTTTGAAATACATTTTCTCAATTATGCTTAAAACTCTAAATTATTATTTTAATATTATTGAGGTTTGTCAGTTTGATGTTTTTAACACTTTAAATTGTGTTTTTTGTTTTGACATTTTGAGTTGTGTTGTTATTTAACCAAATTAGAAATCCGTTTTACCGGCTTTCAAAATGTCAGTGCGAGTTTGTCGAGATTTCATCCTTAAAATTCGATATTGAAGCAATTTTTTGCAGTGAAAGTGAAGGGGATGTATTTAAGGCCTCTCCATGGATTGTGTTTTTTTAAGGTGGCGCAGAAAAAATAATAATAAAAAAATTGTTCCGGCCCTGATTATTTTTCATTCTGCCAAAGCACAATGTACGCCTCAAGTCTTTAATTTTTTCGTTTCTTTAGGTTGGCAACACGTCTACAAGCAAGAGCGGTCTTTAGTGCATTTTATAGATGTTCGGGGAGACTAATTTGCCATGTGCAAATTTATATTTTTAATTGGGGCTGTGTTTTCCTTGTCGCTAATTATGTAGCAAGAAAAATAAAGTACCACACACATATATAGAGGAAGTGGGGGTAATTCGGAATACTGTTGGTAATTTGGAATACTTAAATATTGAGGCTATGCTTAGCGCCATCTCGTTAAATATGAAATAAACTACTAGAATAGCCTATATTTTGTGGACATGTGATTTTGTAGATATTTTGATTTATGGTAGAGGGCCAACACATGTGAAAAATTATTTGTGGGGTAATTAAAACTTTTTTAGTGGTAATTAAATCGGCAATCATAGCTTCGATTTTTATCTTTAAATTAACTTAAATTGTATCCTCAGGTAAGTAAAGGGTTATATTTTTAGTTGTTAATTGTACTTTTTCGATATGTTAAAGCATTTACTTTTTTTTACATATTATGGCGTAGGTCTTTATATTGCTAATTTGGAATACTATAAATAATGCAAATTTTAAATATTCCAAATTATATTCATTTTTTGTAATATTTGATAATCAATCCAATTTTCTCTTTTAATTAATATTTGGTTACCTTTTTAAAATGTTTTATTAACCTTTTTAATATAAAACATTTGCTGCTACTTTGAAATATTCCAAATTGGTGGTATTCCAAATTAACTTCACGTTACGTAAACAGAGATTTTTTACACTTTTTTTTTCATTAGTGAAAAAATCCTTTTAAAGTATTTTAAATAGTTTAAAATTTTCGTATGGCATAGTACAAATGTAGATCTTGGACATGTTATTTATTTTAATCGAAATAATTTAAATTTAAATTTTTTGCTATTTTTTTTTAAACTACTATTCCAAAATACCCTCACTTCCTCTATATATATATATTTATTTTTTTTTTTAATTGGCAATATTTTGTTTATTTCTTAATAAAGACTGATGCTTCTACTACAACTAAAATGTATGGTTTCCAAACATAAAATATCCCAACTGATATACAGGGGCTAGCAATAGTATTAAAGGTGTACCAAATAAGAACAACTTACGATCCCCAAACGAATTTCTAAAATGTAATAATGATGCCCTTTTCAAGCCATTTATAACATTCATTGTGGTTAATTTGTGAGTTAACAGAACAAGAAAGGCATACTTCCGCAAAAGGGCCACCCATTGAGACCGAAAACATGTTCCAGTCATCAACAAACAAGCTTCGTTCATAATCTAGGAATTTTATTTGTAAATGTGTAATTTAGCAGAAAATTGCATTTGCTTGAATTTAGTTCTGTCAAATCAAAATTGGATTTATTTAATCAATAATGCTGATAAAAAGTCCGCAATGTCAAATTTGCATGGCATTTCCAGATTAAAATTAAATTAAATTCAATGAAATTTTAATCAAGAGGGCATCTAGTTTTACTTATTACTCAGTTCTGCCAACATAAAACCCGTCCATGCGAGCTTAAAGCGTTTAGTTCTGCTCTTGAAGTCTTCAAAAAACACGAATTTATGGTGTCATGGTTTAATACAGAGCCCATCGCGCCGAGAAATCGTATTCCCCCCACAAATTTCTAATTGGACGCGGTATAGAGGTCCATTCTTTTTTGTTCCATATTTTTCTACTGCGTCGTTTTGACCGTTTGCGGCCCAGACCGAACAAAAACTTTGGGTTTTGAAATGTCGACCACTTGGTGTGCCAAATTTGGTATGCGTTAGTTTTTTGTCACGCCACACAAAAAAATTTATCCAAAAAAGTAGGTATACCTACATAAAAATAATTTTTAATACTAACATCCTAAATTGTGTTTAAAACATTTTAAATTGTTCACATTTGTTTTTTACATTTTATATTGTATTTTATAATTCTCAATTGGGTTTTTAAATTTTATATAAATTGTGTTTTTGACAATGTATTAATTATACCTTTGATATCCTAAATTTCTTTTAAGATTCTAAATTCCATTTTTGACATTCTAAATTTTGACCGAGGTTTTGACATTCTCAATTGTGTTCTAACATTCCTAATAATGCTTTTAAAATTCTAAATTTTATTTGCGACATTTAAAATTGTGTTTTTGACATTTCTGATTATGGTTTGACAATCTAAATTGCCTTTTTAAAATTACAAATTTTTGATATTCTAAATTTTTTACATTCGTTACAAATTCTAAATTATGCTTTTGTTATAGTGTTTTTAACCTTTAATCTAAATTGGTTTTTGTCAGATTTGTTTTGAGATTCTGACTGGTGTTTTTAACATTCTAAATTGGGTTTTTAAATTCGATATAAATTGTGTTTTTGACAACGTGTTAATTATACCTTTAATATTCTAAATTTGTTTTAAGATTCTAAATTGTTTTAAAATTTCAAGTTGTGTTTTTGAAAGTCTAAATTGCCTACATTTCTAATTTTGTACATATTTTGCAAATTCAAAATTATGCCGTTGATATTATTGGGTTTTGCACGTTTTTTTTGTTTTAAACAATTGAATTTATTTTTGTCAGATTTTCCGACCTCTAAATTGTTTTTTAACATTACAAATTGTGATTAGGACATTCTTGATTGTGTTTTTGACGTACCTACTAAATTGATTTTTTTAAATTCCATATTTTCTCATTCAGATTTTCTTTGACTTGTGTTTAAAACAATTTAAATTGTGTTTTAGCATTTTAATTTGTGTTTCTGTTATTCTAAATTGCGTTTTTTACATTCTCATTGTGTTTTTTACATTCTATATTGTATTTTAAAATTCTAAATTGGGTTTTTAAATTCTATATAAAGTGTTAATATTCTAAATTTGTTTTAAAATTTTAAATTCCTTTAAAATTCGCTTTTGACATTCTAAATTTTGAGCAAGGTTTTGACATTCTCAATTGCGTTTTACATTCCTAATAATGCTTTTGAAATTATAAATTTAATTTACGACGTTTAAAATTGTGTTTTTGCAATTTCTAATTATGGTTTGACAATCTAAATTGCGTTTTTAAAATTATAAATTGTGTTTTTGAAATTCTATATTTTCTACATTCTCAATAATTACTATGTTGGTAGATCTAAATATGCTTTTGGTATTATTGGGTTATTTACATTCCTAATTGTTTTATATATTTATAATATTGGTATTCCTAAGATTTTCTTTGTTTTGACATTCTATATTGTGTTTTTGACAATCTAAATTGTTGCTTTGAAATTGGAAATCTTGTTTTCGACGTTCTAAAT